ACCAGGCATGTAGCTGGGGGGGAGGGGGGAAGCTATAGGGGCTTCAGCCCCTCCCCCCGAAATTCTCATGGTGGTCCGCGAGATGGCCTTACTGGTACATTATTTAAACTGTTATGTTTATTCATATCATGATCTGATCACCATGCTCAATATATCCCATATGCATGGGGGTATTGGGGTAACGATACAAAAGGTTTGCTAGGGTAGACCCTCTTTCACTCAGACTCCCCCCCCCCCAAAATCAAACTCAGCTCCCCCCAAATCAAAATTCTGGCTACAGGCCTGATTGTACAAAATGTATCAAGTGACTGGATGAGAAACACTTTGATAAGGATATCTCAGACCTTCAGCTGTTTGGGACAATAACTCACCTAATATTCCTCATTATTGAGTATGTTTGTAATGGCTTCTCGAAATCAAAACCCAAAAGTCTGGAGAGGCCAAGTTCCTCCTAAGCTACATGACAAAATAAGAAAAAAAAATCCAAGAGTCCATGTAAGCAAAAAAAAAAAGTTTGAAATATTTCATCTCTTTACTAAGGAATATGTATATTTCTATCTGAGTCAGAGTGTGGTGGAAATCTGGAACTAAAATATGGTTTTCATTGTGAGAAATATGTATACCACTTGTTATCTTGGAAGATGTCTCTCCACAGTATAGCTTGCAGTGCAGACTTCCCATGCACCAGTAGGGGGCAGGCTTGCACACCAATTTGGGAAAGAATCTCAATCCTTTATATTGAGCTCTCAATAACCTGCTCTTATTGAGAACTGACTTTAAAGTCACAACAGAATGCAAACACATACATGCCACATACAGTGCCTAACATCCGATTAGTGATATACACTCTGAGTCCAACTTACATCTGCATATGGCTTTTTTGTTGTTGCTGCTTGCCTTGTTTTGTAACCAAAATTTCCTAAATATCCTCCCTTTTCATGCTATCTCTGACCCTTCCACAGCCATGCTGTAACCAGTAGAAACCATTGCATGACTGAGAAGCCTCTGGCTACACAGCTGCACAATATAGAGTATGCAATGCAGATGTACAATGTAGAAGGTTTCCCGTATGCTTTGGATTTTTCCTCCAAAAAAATCCTGCATATCTCTTGGGAAGACAAGCGGACAAATGTCAGTGTGCTGGAAGAAGCAAAGACCACCAGCAGTGAAGCAATGATCCTCGGCCATCAACTCCGCTGGACCGGCCATGTTGTCCGGATGCCTAACCACCGTCTCCCAAAGCAGTTGCTCTACTCTAAACTCAAGAATGGAAAATGGACTGTTGGAGGACAGAAAAAGAGATTTAAAGATGAGCTCATAGCCAACCTTAAAAACTCTGGCATAGACACTGAGAACTGGAAAGCCCTGGCCCTTGAGCGCTCCAGTTGGAGGTCAGCTGTGACCAGCAGTGCTGTAGAATTTGAAGAGGCACATATAGAGGGCGAAAGAGAAAAACATGCCAAGAAGAAGGCACGTCAAGCCAACCCTGACTGGGACCGCCTTCCACCTGGAAACCAATGCCCTCACTGCGGAAGAAGATGCAGGTCAAGAATAGGGCTCCACAGTCACCTACGGACCCATCGCCAGTACACTGATCTTGGCAGACTATTCTACTCAGACAATGAGAGATCGCCTAAGTAAGTAAGTAAGTAAGTAAGTAAGTAAGTAAGTAAGTAAGTAAAGCTTTGGATTTTCCTGGGCATAAACACACACATACCCATCATATAGACACCCTCCACTGGCCAATATACAGCTAGGGTGTATGTAGAAGCAAATGAAATCCTGAAGCAAATCCTGAAGCAAATTAGGGAAGTGGGAGATGCTTCACATTTCCATCAGCAAAGAAATTTATGACATAACTTGCCTTGAGTCTCCAAATTTCATTGGGGAGGGGCAGATTTTTTATTTGAGGGTCAATTCCTCATGCACACCCATAACTACACCCCTGAATGCCAGATTATGATCATATTTTTTTCTCCCAATCATAATGTCTAACTAAATACATGGATCTTAGAGTCTGCTCATGCTACTACGAAGCCCCAATCTACAATGATCATATAATACAATTTGAAGCATTCCTGGAAACTGGTTGTGTGTGTGAGAGAGAAAATAAATCAGTTTCTCACACAAAAATCATAATTTTCAAGCAGAAGTATACTAATGTTGCACCAAACACCCACATGGCTATTAAGTCTTCTTTCACTTGGCAGCAAGTGAAAGAAGACTTAAGCAACTCATGACAATGAATTGACAAAGACTTGAATTTTGGATTCTGATTTTTAATAGGCATGTTTTGATCTATTGTTTTAATTATTGTTTTAATATTTTTAATGTATTGTTGAATGTTTTATGATGCTGGCATCATATGGTGCTTCTGTGAGGCTGCCATGAGCGCCCCCCCCCCTCCCCCGGGTGGGTGGGTAAGAAGGGAGGGATATAAATATAGGAAATAATAAATAAATAATAAATAAATATTTAAAAAGTGTTTTGCATGTGGTTTTGCCAAAGGAACATGGATAGAGATCCAGTATCACCAAGATGCTGCCAGGCTGTGAAATTAGGTTTGCATGCTACCCTCCCCTTGCAGACCTAACTTCACAGCCTGGCAGCACCCAAACAAAGTATTTCTGAGATTCTGGAAATCACAATCTTGGGAAATCATTTCCACAGTCCACTTTCAATCGCAGAGCGCCTTGAGAACAGATGGCCAGAGAGACCCCACTGAGTTCCCACCTCAATGGCTTTTTTCAACTGCCTGTCTGAAGTTGAAAGGAGCTATCCAACTACTGAACCTATTCTGAACCAGGTTTCAGCATCCTGCATATCTGTTTTAAGCTTTGGACCAAAGTCCAAAGTTGATGGACACCAATCAAGGTTTTGTGATAGATGATACAATAATACAACATTTAGGGTATCTCATCCATCTTCCCAAAATCCAAAAGCAGTATTTCAGCTATGCAAAATAATTCTGTGAGAAAGATCGTACTGATGTATTTTGAACTCCCAAATTCTGGTCCTCCAAGTGTTTTGGGTTTCAGTTTCCAGCAGCTTCATAAACTATGGCCAATGGTCAGAGATTCTTGGAGATGAAGTCCAAAACACCAGAAGGACCAGAGTTTGAGAAACAGTGCTCTAACCATTGTATGATACTGTTTAATCAAAATAGAAGTGAAATCTTAATTGTTGAATGCGGCTGGAACCCAAGTAACTTCAGACAGATATTAATTGTTCCCACATTTCTTCAGGTTCTCTGCCCCAGTCTTAATTAAAATTAAACCATTGCCAAATGGATTTGTCTGTCAAATACTTAAGCTCTTTATCTGAAACGCATGTTACGACCTTCTTTTGCTTCCCTTCATCACTTCCTGCAACTTCATTTGTGATCACTACAGTTAACTAGATTAAATATGTAGTTCATAATAAGCACTGGTTAAATGTATTCATTTATGTAACCGACCTTTGAATTCATCATAATTAAGATGCCAAAATTTCTTAGTTTAAGTTGAAAATCACCTCCCTCAAGGATTATTGTCAAACCAACAAACAGAATATTTCATAGCAAGCCTGTTCTTGGCAGGGATAGGAAAATATATAATATTTCTTGAATTTCTTTGGTCATGAAGAACATAGTGGCATGGGTTCTTCACACTTTTTGCTCAGCATCTGCACATCCCATAATGTTTTGGTATTGTGCAAAATCCCACATTCTAGGTCAAAACTCACTGCTTTCTTGTAGTCACATGACAAAACTTCCAGAAATCATAATTTCCTCCTGCCAAACACATATCTGGCATCTTGTACAGCAGTTACAATGTCATTGGCTTAATGAAACAATACCCCAACTGCTGAAGATTCATGCTTATAGTCATCAGTGGCTGAATATGACTCCTTAAACTTTCTTTTCCTATCTGACAGTTCTTCAACAAAAAAAAACCTCAGAAGTTTTGCCCAAAAAGCATGTATTTATGCAGTTCAGAAGGTCTGGGAAATAAAATCAATAGTATGCTCCCAGTCATGGGTGCCTTTGGACAAGCATTTGTGGGCAGAACCCAAGACATTTCTCCAGTGCTTCTTTTGTAGATACATCACAACTGAGAGACCACCATTTCTTGGAGCTGTGATCTCCAATGCCACAAAATTGCTTGGTTTGGAGTAAAGGTAATAATAATAATAATAATAATAATAATAATAATAATAATAATAATAACAACAACAACAACCTTTGCTCCAAACTAACCATTTTTGTGGCATTTGTCAGCATATCCTTAGTTGTGATGTACCTTCAGAAGAAGCACTGGAGAAATATCTTAGGGTCTGCCTGCAACTGCTTGTCCAAAGGCACTCCATGACTGGGAGCATACTATAGATTTTATTTTATATCCTGGCCCATCTCCCAATGGGACTTGGGGCAGCTCACAACATAATTAATACAACACAATACAATACATAAGGTAGGTTTTGGGAGCTGCCATTCATTTTAAATGTAGAATTTTTCACTAATCTCAGATATATAGCCAATTAGTTCAAAACCCATGTTCTGTGCACAAAATTATAATCCTCCCCACAAAAGCATATGAGAAATGTGTGATTTATATCTCCCCAAATCCATGATTTTTGTACAAAATCACCATGTGGGTTTCTGGCACCAGTTGTTTTGCAAGAAAAGGTGCCTGGCAGACTCAGAGAGTTGCACTAACTTTCCTTAACCCTGATATCAATAAACAAGCACAGTTTACATCTACATGCCATTAACTGCTGTTAGAAGCATTGCTACAGAAGTTAGCTATAAAGTTGGCACAATAACTTTACTTTTCTGCTCTCATGGCATAAAATCACTGTGGGTGTGGAAGGATAATAAATCCTGTGTGGATTTCCCCTAAATCACAAGCTATTGCAAAAAGAAAGAAAGAAAGAAAGAAAGAAAGAAAGAAAGAAAGAAAGAAAGAAAGAAAGAAAGACAGAGACTAGTCTTCTCCTGGATGTTTTCCCCAATGGCTCACCTTTTGGTCCAGGTAAAATTGTGTGTGTTGAACAGATCTCTGTTGTAGTTTGGCTGCTGTCGTCCTCCAACCCAAAGATCTGGACAAGGAGAAGGAAGAGTAAGAGGCAAGTTTCATGTTTGCAAAGTAGCTTCATCATGCTGCTGGCTGTGGAACTCTACAGGAAATGCCCTTCGTTGTTCCCAGCTTTAATAATTTCCAAAATAAAATTTCCCATATAACTCTGGAGAGCTAACTAAATGAAAGATCCCACTTGACTAAAGCTAAATAAAGAACGGCAGTCTTGAAGAGGCCCTAATGGAGTGCATGTTTTGAAAAAGTGAACCTCCTGGATCATAGATTGTGCAGTGTGTTTATACAGTAGTGACAGTTGTTTATTAAAGTTTATCTATTGGCTGTGAAATAATTAAGTGTGGAGGCCCAAGCAGATGTCTTGAATGCTTAAGTCTGCCTCTGCTTGGGTGTCTGACTGCCAGCATCAGAGGCAATGGTGAGAGCCATTTACTATGTGTTTTACATTCATGGGGGGGGGGGGGMAGAAACAGGGTAGAAAAGGCATTAAGTCTGCACATCAAAAGACATTGACAGGGGAGTCAGGCAAAACTCCAGGTGCAGAATCTATGGGTTTCAACCCATTGACATTCCATTCCATTGGTTAGGCTGAACAAGGATTCTGAACAAGGGCCATGCTCCTGACACATCTGGAACAGTGAGATAGCTATATGGTGATAAATGTTATAAGTCAAGAAAGATGGGAATGTATGAAACTATTATTTATTTTTTATTGTTGTAAGCTTCCTCCCTGGTGGTTGGAAGTGAGGAGTGGGGAAAAGAGAGATTGTGTGCAGAGCTGCCAAAGGACAAGATGGCATACTTTCTACATAGGGAAGGAAATAGTAGTACAAAGGGGAATTTTTTTTCCAAGCTCTGCTTAGAGCTAAGGAAATTTTCTTCCAAATAACACATATATTGATTTGGATGAGGGAGTGGGTGACATTTCTGCATTTCCTGCTTTGCCTGGTTTTTTTTCCCCTTTGTGCTACTATTTCTTTCCCTAACTGGCTTGAGTTGGCTCCGGGGGGGGGGGGGGGGATATAAAATAAAAGAGAACCGAAGCATTGATTTCTCCATCTCTTAGAGTATATCTACACTGTAGAAATAATGCAGCTTGACTCCATGGCTTAATGCTATGGAATCCTGGGAATTGCAGTTTTTGGGGCATAAGTACCATTCACTATAGAAGGCTAAATACTTTGCAGAACTATAACTTCCAGGATTCCATAGTATTGAGCCATGGAGTTGAGTGGTGTCAAGCTGCATTAATTCTGCAGTGTAGATGCACCTTAGATTCAACTTCTACATCATTGATGGGAATAATGTCTCTCTCCATATGTTGTTGGACTGTAACTTCAAACATCCCTAACCAACACATGCACAATGATGAGGAGCACTGGAAAGTAACATGATTCCCACTTCTCTCTAAGCCACTATAAAGCACAAACCAATCCAGATTCGTTTTTAAAGCCAGCTTGTTTTTTGTCAGAGATTTGCAAACGAGAGTGCAGCCATTAGCATCTGGCTTAAAATAAATGCCAACTATCATGACCCGATAAAGCTCTGAAGAGAAAAAAACTACCCTGGGAAAATATTTCCATCTTCATTTATGTAAATATTTGTGTAACTCCTTCTGGAATACATGTTGCCTTAAGAAAAATGAGCACAGATTTTCCTGTTAACTATTTAGACATGGACTTGTTTGTTTGGACTTGGAAACATTTAGGGATATAGCTCGGCAACCAGTGTTCCCTAGATATTTGTTTTAACTTCACACATTCCCAAAGTTAGTTGTTGAATTATAACTCCTTGTCAGTGAGAGCTGGTGAGAGATGGAGTCCAACAATATCTAAAAGGTTTGCCATCTCAATTGAGGGGCAAAACTGTATCTGTCCCGGGCATTTTGCTGCCTAAGACAATGGACAAGATGAGGAACAACCACATACCTTTTGCATAAAGAAGTAAAGTGCCCATGTCTTGGAACCTGGTCCTTCTTCAACTCTCAGGATGAAGGGGAAGAATCTTAGGTCAAACTCACAGAGGACAAAATGTGTGCATATATGTTTTCATTTGTTACACCTGGTGTTTGTCATTTGAATGGTGTATTCTCTGCAAATGTGGTTGGTGTAGCATATCCTGCTTGATCAAATTACCAGGGCCACCTTCCTTTGATCACAAGAAGATATATGTAGTCACAGGTTGTGGCCCTGAAATTGCAGGTTCTAGAATAGCCCTGATATGGCAACCCTACATAAAAGTTACATCTTCCTCCAACGCTTGAATCAGACTTCTCCACTGTGTCGCATTATCACTAGAGCTGAAAGAGTAGACAGTAAAGAGTATGCATCTCATCTGAAATTCTGTGTCTGCCTCCTGCAAAATTCTGGGGCTTGTAGTTTTCAAATGGGATGCATATGCTTTGCCTACTCTTTAACCTCTAGTGTGATACTTTAACCATCCCAGGCTCTGAGATCTCAGGGCGAAAGCCAAAGATCTAGAGATGGTCTCATGGGATGTCAAAGGGAGTAGGAGTAGGTGATGTCATTAAGCACGATACATTAAGCATTAGCCACAGCTTCAAATGCCATTCCAACAACAGGATAGAAAATGATAATATTTAAAGTCTTGCCCTGAGATTCTTCTCCCTTGAATGCAGGATCAGAGAAGTGCCAGGTACTGAGATCTGGGAATGTTGATGGCTTCAGAGAGGAATAATTGTTTTAAAAAGCAGGGTGTGACATATGCCCAATATTTAATGGGTGAAAACTTCATTAATAACTGGGAATACTCTATGCACATTCCGCCACAATCATGCATGATATTCTATGGCCATCTTCCCCAGCCACTCCGAGCCCCAGGGGAGTGGCGGCATATAAGTTAGAAAAATAAATAAATTAAATAAACCCATTATCTTCCAGTTGGGTTAGGAATGGCTGCAAGACATCTGCCCAAATAGACCCTGGTGCAACGGTTAGGCTTGGCAAATGCCCCAGAATGGCAGTGCAGACACCTGGCCTGACTTTCTTGACTTCTGTTTAGTCAAAAATGATGGGATCAGAGAAATGTGAGCTGGGGAAGCTGCTGTAAACAAAACAATTAAGGATGCAATGTTTTTAAAATCTCTGTTTACACTCTGCCCACATGAAGGAATGGTGACTTCACTGAAATGAGTATTTAAATAAAGGCACCTTGAGAACTTTGTTTTTCTCTTGGCATTTCTTCCAAATTTCTGTGCATAGGAAATGTTAGCATGGAATTTAAAATTCAGGTGTTTATAGGTGCCAAGAGACCACATCAGAAAGAAAACTGTCACCCCCATTTCCCTCTTCGGAATATTTATTTGCTTATAACACCATCTTTGATCAGTTGTGTGGAAAGCTCGCAAGATGTGGAGCTTGTTCTGGGCCACAGCTCCACAAATCCCCCAGGCAACTTGGAACAGATTTTCCCTCCTCCAACCTTTCCATAACACCCCCCCCCCACCACCACCACTCTTTTTCCATGGTTCCCTCTCTCTCTTCCCCCTGTCCCTTCTCCCCACTTACTGGTAGCAGCTCTAAATGCCACTGAACCATCACAAAATCTGTCCATAGGAGAAACAATAGCAGAAGCAATCCAAATGGGAGAAGCCAAATCTGTTTTGCAAAGATGCATTGTTTGATTAGAAGCCAAGAAGATTCAGCTAGGTCCCATGAGTACAATGATTTTTTTCTTCCACAACAAATGAGGAGCATGTGTCTGGAGTGAAATACAGCAGAAGTCCATTTAATGCATATTTTTCTCATCTCCCGCTACTTGACCATAACTCATTTGAAATACCTTCCAGCCCCCTAGGAAATGATATTGTGATCAGTGGAACAGTGGAGTCAGGGCTTACAGGGTCCAAGTGCTAGTCATTACCAAGGGCAATGGCATTATCTGTCTTTCCCACCTCAGCTTTTCCTGCCACCTCTAAACCTAGTTGTTATAAACATAACAATTTAGCTTGGTTGGGCTAAGTTTGCTGTGAGCTATCCCTTTTTAAATGAGATGGCCTAGTCTTGACTGGAAGATGAAAACCTGTTAGCTTCATAGCCGCTTGGTTAAGTAGAAGGCAATAGGAAAAGAAGAAGTCCACATTCCTTGTGGTGATAAAAAAGCCCTGTTGGGATTTGTTTGTTGATAAAAAATTATACAAATGCCTACAAGTTTGTGTTCTTCTTTGGGGTAATAGTTATTAACATTTCCTCTGTGTACTCTTTTAACATCTGTGCATGCTAAAAAAGCTGTGAAACCTTGAAAGCGAGTGTGATGTTATTGATGCCTTTTGGCGAGCTCAAAAAATGTATCACCATAGTTGGATCAACACAGGTACCCATGCAAGATCTGGATCAGTGATATGCAGAATCACAATTAGTAGGACCTAAAGGTCCAAAATAGTATGCACAAGGACTATTTTGGCTTTTTATTTCAGGCAGTGACTTATGTAGAGCCATCTTTGTTTTCCCTCCCGTGCTTCTCATGTGAACAAACTATTAAAAAGGCACTTTGTATTGTGCAATCTGAAGCTGTTTTAAGGATACAAAAGGTGTCAAGAAGTTTTCAGAGAAGCAGCCATTTTAAGTCTGTTGTAGCATGAAAAGGAGCAAAAGAAACAGGAAAAAATCAGATTCAGATGCAAATTGTGATATGATGCAAGTAATAATTTGCATATTTTGTATCCTATTATTCTATCCTAGTCCCACAACTATGTTACTATATTTGAAAACATGTGGCTTTAATATGACTCAAAGCATCTGAAGAATGGATTGATATCCCAGAAAGCCCATGCTAAAATATCAGTTGGCCTTAAACAGTGCTAGAGTCTTTTTCTCCTTCCATTTTGATGTCAAAAAGGAAAAGCAGAATCTCTGGTGTTATTATCCACAGTTATCCCTTGGACAATAAAGAGGCACATCTATCACTTGGTAATAACATTCCCCATAAAGTGTGCTGTATTTATGTATCTATTTCAGTTATGTCAGCCGTATCAAGATTTGTCACTATACATTGAAATTCTGCACACTTATATCCTCTTTTTCCTCATTTTCAGTAACCCATTGTTTCTTTTTGGCAGGCGAACACCTGACCAACTGTAAGAGTCATCACTAGCTATGGCGGTTATGACCACACCTTGGGAAATGCCATACTCCACAAACACAGTTGTCGTATAAAATACAGTTATTTAATACCAGACTACTTCAGAATTAGGCTGCAACCACTTGTTGAACAACAATCAAAAGTCAAGGCCAGGGGTCAA